CAAACGTTTTAAAAAATGGAAAAAGAATCTGAACTGACATTTCATCAACAATATATGCTTAAGGGCAGCAAAAAAACATAAAGAATAAACATAAAGAATCAATGTCACTGGACATTAAAAGGTACAAATAAAAACTGCCTTAAGATACACTTCATTCCCACCAAAATGTCTTAAAACATTCAAAATAAAACAAAACAAAACAGTAAACATACACACAAAATAGCAAATGTTAACAAGGATGTGGGGAAATTGAGACCTTTATCTATTCCTTTGAGGAATGCAAAATGGGATAACCACCGTTGAAAATAGTTTGGAAGTTCATCAAAATGTTAAAAATAGAAATAGCATGTGACTCTTCAATTCTATTCTTAGGAATATTCCCAAGAGACCTGAAAGCTGAGCACTAATCGAACACCAGTGTCCATTGTGGTACTCTTCACTGTACACTATTCTCTGTAGCCCAAAGGGGAAACCATTCAAATAGCCGTCAGCAGACAAATGGATAAACAAACATTATAGATATATATATATATACATCACTGACATCGAGTTGATGTTGATTCATAGCAACCCCTTGCAGGTTTCCAAGACTGTAACTGTTTACAGGAATAGAAAGCCCAGTCTTTCTCCTGTGGAGCTGCTGGTAGTTTTGAACTGTCAATCATGCGGATCACATTAAGCCCAACGTGTAACCACTATGCCACCAGGTGTGTGTGTGTGTGTGTGTGTAATGAAATGTTACTCTGACATAAAGAGAAATGAATTCCTGGTACATCCCTTAATGGATGATCTCTGAAAACTCACTGCTGGTATAAGTATGTAAATCAAAAGAAGAAAAATGTTGTATGATCTCATTAATATGAAACTCTAACATAGACAAAGACAGAGAGAGAAGAGTTTAGCAGTGGTTACCAGGGGAGAAAAGAAAAAGCAAGGGTGGGGGAGGGGTTTGCTGACAGCCATAACTGGTGATGGGCGCTCAGTATTATTAATGCCATTGACCTTACTGAATTGTACACAAGGAAACTACTTACTTAGTAAATGTTGCGCTACCTATATTTCTACAACATTTGTAAACAACTATTCACTACTACATTAATTCTATCTCTCACTTCAGGCTATCAAGTTTGAATGGAACCTTGAAAGTCCCTTGGTCCAGCTCCTACTACACCGCTCATTACAAAGCATCCAGATTGCTCATCGTCTCTACTGGTAAGACGAACTTAAATGGGTTAGGATACACTGTTTTCATTGTCAACTACTTTCTGTGGGGTAGCTTGAGAAGAAGTGTAATATTCATTTACTTTTCAATCCAATTAAAATTCAATCAAGTTTATGTCAATGCTATTTCTGTTTATGAAAAGAATTTAACAATTATGCTTTTCAAATTCTTCTTTTGGACAGTTCCGTATGTTTACATACAGTCAGATTTAAGATCAGTATTATCTCTTTCCTATAACTTTAAATCACAAGAAAAATACAAAATGTCATTTGTGATAATGGCAACTTGTTGAATTTTCAATATGAAATCTATTATCAGCATGTTATATTTGGGGAAAGTGGATGCTATAAAAGTAATTTCTGTACCATTAATTTGATTGGCTATAAACAGTGGAATCTTAAAGTTAGCTATAGAAATTAGACTCCAAAGGCCAACTCAGAATCTAAATATATTTAGAAAACTAAACTTTTGTGAACACCTAAGTTTAGAATATTATTAATAGGGAAATAAGATTTATTAAAGAAATATCAGGATTTCCCACATTATCACCTGCCTGATTCTATTGAACTTGGTATTATTTGCATATTTTTCTACTTTGTCTTTTAAGTTTGTTGATTCAACTTCACAGAACAGAATTTAAACAATTCCAAGGGTCAATGACCTAAAGACAACAATGGATCCATCTTTCATCCTCAGATGTGTATGGCAGGCATCCTCCGATGGCTGCAATCACTAGCGAAGAATGGCGACTAATAGAAAAACAAAAGGCAATAGCATCTTTCAGTCTACTTTCTGCTTTAAGAAACATTATTCACAACGACATCAATCTCCCCATGATGATATGAGCAAACGATGCAAACATCCTATACCAAAGCAGAGACGCAAGGAATTTGTCAAGGGCCACTCTGATCTGTTGCTCACTTTCATTGTAAATGACAAAGGTGGAAAGCAGAACATTCCCTCCTGCACACCACTGTAATGAGGCAGTAAGTAGACTCTTCACTGAATGGGCTCTCTTATGAAAGCGCTGATTAAAGTCTTATTCTTTTCAGTTTTTCAAAGTAACTACAATGCTAAGGCTAGTTAAGTGGAAATACTTTGTGGTATTCTTCTGTCCTATTAAAAATGCCACCCTATTCAACTTAAATGCTTACTTTTGTTAATACATTACTTTTTATTTGTTATGCACATGAATTACAATAAAACATATCATAATTGAACACTACCAACCTTCATCTTAATGGAAATATTAGAATCAAAATATAAGAACATAAAATGACAATTTTCTTATGTGACTCATTTTAAAACGCTATAAAAATAGAAGAAAATAAGAAGGACTTACCCTAATCAATGACTGATTGATATAAAACTTGTGCCATTTTAGTAAGTTATTTGTCTGGTAAAGTACCATGAAAAGTGGGGTCATTTCAAAGGCAACAATGAGTGCAAACAAAGTTGTAGTCAATGTCATCCTTACAATTTAGGATGAATACAATTATGGCACTGTTTCCAACAGGGTTGGAGAGAAAATCTTTCTATGCATAATTCTCACCCTTATGAAAAATAAAGGGGCCCATAATAGAACCCATTCATTCTCTTAGTGCTTCGGAATGAGGGAGTAAGGAAGAGGAATCGAAAGAGGATAAATCACAAATGGCTGGCTTTCATAGGGGGTCTTGTTTTGTAAGAATACAGAAAAATAAGAATGAAAACAAGGATGAGGACTGAAAGACCTAAATCCACTTAAAAGTTTAATGAAAATAAAAACCAGATAAAATATATTAAGTGGTAAATAGCATTGCATATATTTAAAACATGTCTTGAATTTAGGAAAATGTTGTTGCATAGTATTATATTTAAGAAGTTTAGAGAACATTTGAATTAAAACTACAGATTCATTTCAGGGACCTCATGTTCCACTCAAAAATATTTAGCATATCTTTTCTTTAAGGAAAAAAAAAAAAGCAAGAGCCTGAAATAAGAAAGTTAATGAGTCATCATCAGCCATGAGTTTAATGAGGTTTTTTCCCCACTTAGATTAGCTACTACTTCCTTACATTCATCATGTTCAGCATGGAACTTGGGAGTTGTCTATGGTTTGTACCTGTTTCACAGTTGTCCCCAATCATTTACTATGCCATAAAACTTTTGATCTGCTCAGTTTCTCTTCTTCTGTCCACTGCTTCTACTAGTCTCTGTCACTGTTTGGAAGTTTGCCTTGATAGATATTGGATGAGAAAAATGTATTTACTGCTTTGGTGGGAAACCAACAGAGAGGAAATTGACTGTGAGTTACAGCCTGCACTGGAATGGTAAATATATCATGCAGAGTACTGTACCTATGTTTTTAAATGAGTTAATTTTATATTTGGAAGTTTCGAAATTTTACATTCCAATTTATACTCAAAAGTTCATTGTCATTGGAAGCTATAATCCTTTTTCATACCCAAGTGCTATTATTTTGGATAGAAAACAAAACTTTACCTTGAACAGCCCTGACTAAACTGGCTAGAGTGTCACTTTGTGTAGAAAGCTATCCCGCATCCTCTCTGCAGTCACCAACCAGAACTGAGTACTGCTTCCAGAGTTGACTCCTACTGTACATAATGTTGAAAGACATCATATGGCCCTCCTTCAATGCTTCTATATCTTTGTCATTTTCTTCTCCTAATCCATATACTGCCAAATATTGATAACCATTTTGTCAGACTCAGAACATGAATTCTATCACCGTTTCTGAAACTCATTAGTTACTCAAAAGAAAATGAAAAGTTTTGTTTTAATTTATGAAGACCAGAATTTTCATAAGGCCATCATATTTTCACATGAGAGAAACCCCATGGTCCAGACAGAATATGAAATTACTCATCTAACACAAACACTTCTAAAAGGCTTGATTTCTGTCCCATTCAGATCTCCTGGTTATGGCTGATGTACCATCTTCTAGCCTTTTTGAGTGTCAGCTGTCTCTAGAGAACTACCCTCTGCTGACACAGTGGATCAATCTGTGAATTGGGAAATCTCTAAAGGAAATTTACATTGTAGGCTCTCTATGGATCAAATTAATATGAAATTGGACCTAAGCTGGACTTCAACATCATGATTAACTCTTCTCACTTCTCAATCATGTTTCCCATACTTCCTTACCATTTTTTTCCCCTGAAAGGAGTTCCTTTGGTAAATCATAAGTGTCTAAATTTATGTCTCAGACTCTGCTCTAAAGAATCTGATAATTCAGTTTGAAATGAAGCTCCCATTTTACAAGGACCATAAGGGAAGGTATTGTTTTTCAGTTATAGTTACTGTTATATCCTAAGTACTTCGAGCAGTATTTGACACAGTACAGATATTCAATTATTTACTATTGAATACATTACTTAATACGACTAAAGAGGATTATGTTCCTGTGTGAATGCAGAACTGTAATGGAAGGGGGCAGAAGGAGCTTCTAGAGCAATCAGTCTGGCTGGAGGCCAAGCTACAGATGACAGGCCTAGAGCAATTCCAGAAGATTGTTCCAGTCAGAACTCAGGCAATGGCTGCCAGGAGTGAAGACCAAACTAGATGGAGAACATCAGCAGAAGCCAGGGGCTAACCTGAGTAGAGAGTAGAGAATTGGGGCCTAACAAGCAGGGGTCCGCTGAACAACCAAGAGAGCCACAAAGGAAATTAAACTAATGGCATCTCCGGTACCATGGGACTTTTCAAGGTGGAATGGGATATTAAAGCATCATATTCTGTAAGCTTTAATGCACTACCCATAAAAGTGAGATGATGTACAATCTCCCCACTTATTTTCCAAAGAATTTTCCATGCACTTCTTTGGGATTGAGAACTTTGTAACAAGTTTTCAGAACAAAGAATATATTTGGCAACATGTGATTTGAAGCCCCACTTGTCCCAGTCTGCTTTCTTAAAGTATATGCCCCCTGCTGAAATCTTCTCTTTTGTAAGTCCTTTCTTTAAAATAAGTATTCTTTCCTCTGAAGTCCCCTTCTATCGTGAAAACTCTGTGTGTGTTTTAGTGTGTGCATTAGTTTACCATGGTTTATTGATGTGACAAATGTTGAGAACTAAACAGGATTGCCCTATTTAGGATAAGCAAAGTGGTTCTTGTCTCAGAAAAAGTCGTGGGCTAATACATTAGCGTCCAGCAGGAAAGAGCACACAGACTATCTTCAAAGGCAGCCATTGAAGAAACTCCACACACACACACACACACACACACACACACACATACACACACACACACACACACATACATCATGCCCCTTTTTCAGCTAGGCCTATGTATGGCCTGTGCCAAATATAACGACAGAGAAGAGGCAAGGGTGGACACTGAGAAAACAAAGCCTGCCTGCATGCTCCCACCCTGTCCATTTTCCAGACTGAGAGAGGCTCCCAATGAATACACGAAGACAGTCAAAGCTCTCTCCGCTTTGATATCTGCAACACCCCGCAGTGAGAGCACAGGTCCCTCCTTCACGGAGTTATTGTAGGATAATAGAGCGTGCATGATAGAGAATCAATAGGAGGTTTTAAAGCCTCAATTCTTCACCTACTAAAACCATTACATTGCTACTAATTCACTCTTTTCCCTTTACAGTGTAATAAATAATGAATTATTGCTTCACTTTTTGTATGGGAAAGATATGTACCACTGTCATTTAATATTGATCGACTAACATCATCTTTCAACCTGTTTTCAGGAAGACACACAGCTGATAGCATCCCTACAATATACAATTCACACACGAGTAATCCTAGCAATTCTCTCCCCCAACCCCAACGTGAAGAAAGCATGATGGGTATTTGGAAGAAAGTTTTTATTTTACACAACAATGTAAAATTCATTAGCACAGTTTTCTAATTCAGGCACAATACAAGGACATTGTTTCTGTTTTATTTATAATTCCCCGTAAGAGTTTTCTGTAGGTTCTTTAACAAAGAGTAAAATTTTAAAAGCATAGAATTTTAAATGACCTTTCCA